ACGACGGTGGGTAATAAAAGTTTTTGAGAAATTCGATCAACTCGAATGATATTTAATACCCCTTCTCAATTCTCATATAATAGGCAACGATTGGACAGAAATTATAAACTAAACGTGTCGCTTTGGAAAGTCGAATCGCCCGGTGGGTTCCCGGTTTACGACCATAGTTACGAGCATAATTCTGCCTGGCGAAGGGAGCTTCGTTTAGGGTCTCTCGGTCCTTTCGGATGGCTGATGAAGTTCGAAGTTGTAGATACGAGAACGGGAGTAAATCAAACGGGGACCACGTTGATTCGTTTGCATCGATAACGATCCTCGTAGGGAGCATAAACTGCGCCACGAGGAAAGTCGAGCCTTTAGGTTTCCCCGGTTTATGAGAAATATATATTTCCACGGAGCAAACAGCGTGCCGCGGGAAAGAATGAACGGCCGGGGAGAAAGGTATGGCTCGATGCAATCGTATATCAGACGTCCTGCGGTGGTTCGACGATGCGAGGAAACGAGACCTCACCGCGGGCAGAGCATTATCGCGGCGAGCAACGCGAGAATCGCGAGAATTCGAGCGGAAAGAGAATTACGAGGCGCGGACGGCTAAGAGAAATCACGGCGTACTCTTTCAGGCAATAAAACGGCACGATCGATCGATGTATCGCAGTCTCGATCGGATCCAAATTATTCGAGAAACTCGCCGCGGGTGTTAAAACCCGATGGATCGATTTGAATTCATCGATTGTGGACATTTGGCGAGGGTGATGATGGCTCTATTAGAAAATCGGACAATTTTTATGCTCCGTTAATTGTTTCGACACTTCGTTTCGTTTTTATTGCAAGAGATATCGTAGAAATGAAACATGGAATTGGTGAATTTCGAATTTACAAAACCACGTTGTTACGTTAATTTTCTAAGAAATACTTTATCTAGGTTTTCATTATTTTTTCAATTTTTCATTCGAGAAATACTTTTCAGAGTATTTAAGGGTGTTCTTCACAATTGCCTAAGAAATCCTCGCTGTATTTCTGCGAAGCTTCAGACATTCGTGAAGAGATGGCACTGGCTGCACTACTCGTGCGAATTCAAAGACCTTTAGCTTCATCCCCTTACGCAGGAGGATGTATTCGTTGCTCATTACTACCAAAAAGAAAGTACTACCTACCGAATGTCCTTGAAGACTCTCAAAGTCAAACAAAAATCCCAATTGCACTGTGAAACTCAGAAATCCATTTTCTACGTTGAATTTGAAACGGCACGTTCAATACAGTATCCATCTACAATCAGTTTGTTATCAACTGGTCATGCGCTTTCAACTCAACAATGATTAGCAATATCATTTTACAAGTTCCCGCTTTAATTCAACAGTTCAACTCTTCCACTAGGGCATCCTAGTGTTTCAAGGAAAGTGGTCATCCCGTACGAAACTGTTGGCATGCAGTTGGAGCAGCTATCGGCTGGTAAAATAGGGAAGAAGCTCGCGTGCATAAAGAACACGGAAGGAAGAGATAGAGGCGAGCGCGAGACCGAAGGTGGAAGATAATCGTCGGGAGTGCGTGGACCCATACGTAGGAACGTGTACCACCCAACGAAAAATTAATAAATCCTGCTCTTAAACAAACAAGCTCCACCCACCCGCGGATCGGATAAGGGGCCGGCTATTGATTTATTAATTTAGAGCTGCCCATTCTAAGACGCGGCCGAGGGAATACGCTCGCTCGCTCGCTCGCGCGTCTGCGCCCTCGCGCTCCTTCGCAGCGCTTCGGGACCCGAAGTTAAGGGATCCCGCTATCCGACGTGGTATCGGTAATTATAGCCCTGAACGCGCGCGCGCGTCGGTTACGTTCATTACTGAATTATCGGCTCTGCTCGGCAAACAATGTACCCCTTTCAACCCTGCCTTCCCCTCCAGCCTTCATCCTACACCCCCCTCTATCTATCCCTTTTCCTCGTCCGAGCTGAAGCCAAGAGATCCGCAGCCTGTTTCTCTCCTCGTCCTCGCTCAACCTCCTCCAATATCTCCTCTCCTCGCTCTCTGGGGGAAAGAGACTGGGTGCTATCTGATGGGCCACAGGCTGAACTACGACCGGCCCTTTTTCTCTTTATCCCTCTCTACCCTCCTCCCCCTGTCCGTTCTTTCAACAACGCTCCACGTCGCCGGCTATCTTCGCGAAATTCCGTGACCTCTCTCTCTTTTTCGCAAATAGCTCAGAGAATTATTCAACGATCGAGCAGGACGATATTGACGTGTGTGTGTGTGTGTGTGTGCTTGGAAATGGCGTTTCACAGTACGGCGTGTATATATCATGACGAACAAAGTTGGGACATACAGCACGATGAAGCTGTTCCGTTTTCGGAATAGTCTGGAATTTCCGAGGAGGAGTGGGTTTATATAGACGCAGGAGAGTGGAGAGACGAATCCGGAGAACATCCGTGAGACGAAATGATTAATGGCGTTATCCTTTGCCACGGATTTCGCGTAACACGAGATCAACAAAATGAGAGACGGCGCGAGAGTGTGATTCCATTATGCAGCTTCCCGTGGATAGCACTCGCCGGCACTTCTGTCCCGCTTCCGATACGCTGAAATTTAATAAATTCGACGTTTCTCGAAACCTCGTTACGGATACGAATTTTACATTCGCCACGGTGTTATTAAGTGTGAATCGACCTTAATACCTAGGTGCACCGTATGACTATACGAGAGAAGACGTGAACCCGAGGAGATGCGGCATGCACCTTTGCTTCGTCATCCATGATGAGGAACGCAAGAACGCGCATTACCCACGGATCGCCGCGGCTTTTCTGGTCCACCGTGCGACCGCTTCGACCACCACCATCGACCGCTGCTGCCTACGTCTTCCATAGCGAAACCCTCGTCGTTTATTCTCCCGGTTGACTTCCTCACTTGTCATTCTGATGCCATTCTTTTTGCCAACCACTTGTACTTTCGCATAATGATCTTACAACACCGTTTGAATTATAATCCGCGGAACAAAAAAAAAGAAAAAGAAAAAGAAAAAAAAATGTAGATTCTACGATGAAATCGAGAAAGATGAGCAACTTAAAAGAACCTCCCGTCTCTATCTTCTCTGAGCATCGATCCTCACGAATTTTAAATCGAATCTATCGTCGTTCGAATGGGAATTAGACGGGATCCGATAGAAGTGTTTGCAATCCCGAGAGGATATTCTAGCTGTCTAACAGCTGGCCAGTTTTGCTCGTAGATCTCGTGCTAGAGAGGAATTTCTACGAAACCATAGTGGACCCTGACCGAAATGTTTCCACTGACGCGAGGTTTATGATCCCAGACCGAAGTTGTGGTCTTGGAGAGGTAGAGCGACCGAAAAAGAGAAAGGCATACACACGCAGAGAGGGTTCGCGGCAAAATGTAACAGTCGACGAATACAACGCTAGGTATAAATATGCAGTTCACCGGCGTCCAAGTTGCGTCGGTGGATAATTTATGCCGCGGTGGTTCCGCGCCGCCCAGTTCGCTCTAAAAATTATTTATTTGATTGAACAGCGCTTCGGGGAAGGCTATTCTCGGCTAACCTGGACGATCGTTCGCGAGAGAAAGAACTCGCTAGGTTCTGTGAGTGCATAGAAGGGGGTGCATAGGTGACGCTTGAGCGTCCGACGCAAGGCTTTGGTTGCATACATTAGTCGTTCGAATGGTAAATTACGTGTGAAATTTGAGAAATGATGATTGCCAATTCTTTTAAGTTAGGACGATGCTTA